TCAATGGAAACATATCCTCAGGTGAGGATAAAAAAAATAATAAAGAATGAAATGTCATATCCTATGAAAGACACATCTTGAAAATGCCTAAAGAAAGTTGTCATTTTTTCATGGTGAAGGGCCTGGAGTCTGTGTTGATGAAAACACCTTGGTGGCTGCGGTGACTGGCAGTGGCTGCTGCAGTGGGGTGATGGGGCTGGTGCCTTCCCCTGATCAGCCTGGTCGCCTCCCATAAAGGGAGGCCAGACTGCGGCTTAGGCCCGCTCCCCAAGGAGAGCAGGGACCGGGCCTAAGCCATCAGTAGGACATCCCCTGAGGGCTCCCAGTATTTGAGAGGGGGCAGGCTTGGCTGAGGGACCCCCCCCTCCCAGTGCAAGAATTTCATGCACCAGGCCCCTAGTTACATATATGTCCTTATCCCCCCATTGCCCCCCAAACCCCCTTCCCATGCCCTCACCCCCCTGGTGTCTGTGTCTTTTCCATGCATACAAGTCCTTTGGTTGATGTTTCCCCCTTACCCCCGCCCTCCCTTACCTTTCCTCTGAGGTTTGATGGTCTGATCCATGCTTCTCTGTCTCTGGATCTGTTTTTGTTCATCAGTTTATGTTGTTCATTATATTCCACAAATGCGGAGATCATATGATATTTATCTTTCTCTGACTGGCTTATTTCGCTTAGCATAATGCTCTCCAGTTCCATCCGTGCTGTTGCAAATGGTAAGAATTCCTTCTTTTTTACCACAGCGTAGTATTCCATTGTGTAGATGTACCACGGTTTTCTAATCTACTCATCTGCTGATGGGCACTTAGTCTGTTTCCAAATCTTAGCTATGGTAAATTGTGCTGCTATGGACATAGGGGTGCATATATCCTTTCTGATTGGTGTTTCTAGTTTCTTGGGATATATTCCTAGAAGTGGGATCACTGGGTCAAATGGTACTTCCATTTTTAGTTTTTTGAGGAAACTCCATACTGTTCTCCACAGTGGCTGCACCAGTCTGCATTCTCACCAGCTGTGCACAGGGTTCCTTTTTCTCCTCATCCTCGCCAGCACTTGTCATTTGTTGATTTGTTGGTGATAGCCATTCTGACAGGTGTGAGATGGTACCTCATTTTTGTTTTGATTTGCATCTCTCAGATGATTAGTGACTTTGAGCATGTTTTCATATGTCTCTTGGCCTTCCTTATGTCCTCTTTCGAAAAGTATCTATTTAGGTCTGTTGTCTATATTTTTTATTGGGTTGTTTATCTTTCTTTTTTTAAGTTGTATGAGTTCCCTATAAATGTTGGAGATTAAACCCTTATCGGTGATAACATTGGCAAATATGTTCTCCCATGTAGTGGGCTGTCTTGTTGTTCTGTTGATGGTTTCTTTTGCTGTACAGGAGCTTTTTATTTTGATGTAGTCCCATTTGTTTATTTTCTCTTTAGTTTCCATTGCCCTAGGAGCTGTATCAGTGAAGAAATTGCTTTGTCATATGTCTGAGATTTTGCTGCCTGTGTTTTCCTCTAATATTTTTATGGTTTCCCATCTTATGTTTAAGTCCTTTATGCATTTTGAGTTTATTTTTGTGTATAGTATAAGTTGGTGGTCTAGTTTCATTTTTTTGCACGTGTGTGTCTAATTTTCCCAACACCATTTATTGAAGAGAATGTCTTGACTCCATTTTATGTTCTTGCCTCCTTTGTGAAATATTAATTGAGCATAGTGGTTTGGGTCGATTTCTGGGTTCTCTATTCTATTCCATTGGTCTATATTCCTCCTCTATTCCTCATCTGGATGAATGATAGTAACACCCACCCAGGTGCCTCAAACCTGAAACTAGGGAAATCCTTGATTCTTCCCTCTCCCCTTTCTATTGATTCAACATCCTTTTTCTCTAATCAATTCCCTAATTTCCAACCTTAATTTCACAGTCATAGCTTGAGTCACTATCTTCTCTCTGCCCATTTCTTCCCTCTGCCTCCCCCCAAAATTGGAGAAGCCCAGTCTAACTCCTGTTCCTCCTTTAAAACATGCCTCCCTTTGAGAAGCCTCCCTTGACTTCTATTCATCAAGGTCTATCCATGTTCATGTGTGGCTCTATGTATGCTTCCATACAAGTTCTATTGCATTTATTAACTGAACTATATTAAAACTTTTAAAAGTTCCTTTGGATATGGACAGTGTCTTATTATTCACTGGTTTTATATCCACAACTAACAGTCTGCCACATAA